ATTATTGGTTGAAATTGGTTGTCACTCATGTACACGTCATATTTTGTTTTAAGATAATAAGATTTTGATATAAAAATACGAAGATTTTTTTTTGCGTATGTTCTTAGATAGGTGCACAATATGACTGGGGATGTGATCTAAAAGGGTTGAAGAGACATTTCTCATTTCATTTTGACTTTAAGTGTCTTCTGCTTTAGTATAATACAATGGTGAGTACTTAACAAGAGCTTGAGAGTACTTTAATGTATAGGACTGTTCACAACTGGTACATAATGATACTATTTCCTGTGTATGATGTATTTACTCCCACACTTAAGTTCAGTTGACCCACAAATTAAACAGATTTTCAAATATGAACTCACTCACTCGCATCTTCGTGTTACTACTGTGTGTGCGGAGACAAATGCTCATCACTGTCTAACTGGTCAAACCTTTTAGGTGGATTTAGTCCTCTGTCTGCAGCACTCGTCCGTTCTTTTCCCATTTTTAAATTCAAGTCAGTCGCTCCTTGGCGAGTGACAGTTTCCCCTGTCTAAAACAAGTTTGAATAATTTCCACAACATTTTTCAGCAGGGTGGAAGATTTTCTTCCCATGGGTCCCATCCAAGTCAAATACACTCGTGAACTAGGAAAACTCTCACATCAAACAGCAAGATGTTGCACACCAAGGGAAATTTGGTAAACACAACACACCCTGGCTGTGAGTGTTGCCCAGCTGTAGAGCGCGAATGGAGCTTGTCTGGCCGCGGTGACTTCTGTGATCATAGCGGCGTGGTGAGGTGACCTTATTTCCTAAGGGTGAACGGGCTGTCACTACCTGGAGGCTGCACAAACCTTTGAAGCCTTCAGCCACACACACACACAACATGTAACAGTCCATCCTTTTTAAAATGAGATGTAAAAAATGAAACATGAAATAAAATATACCCAGTGCGGCATGCCAAAAGTAAAAAATTGGAAAACGAAACCGAAAAAAGGGGGGAAAATAGAAAACAAGCTTGTAATTAAAAACCATAACATTTCAATGAGCCTTCACGTGTTAATAACTGAATTTGACTTTGGTGACCGTACAAGGAGCCCATTCCCCCGGTTCTCTACTCTCTATTTCTTACTGCTCCACTTAGCTTTATGATTTGCTGTTGCAATTGATCATGAAACGGTTGCTGGGCGTGCCCACACAGCTGTTGTACTGCAGCGCTGTCTAATTAGCAGGCAATGACCGATGACCCAGGACAGGATATGATGCGTACCTGCCTCTGGAGCTTTTGTAAACACTTGGGTGTGTTTTTCCCCTCGGTCATTTTCTGCTTTGCCATAGGTCAAAAGGAAAACATGTCTGGGCCCTCCCCCTTCTGTCCCTCAAAGTACTGTAGATTGTCTCGTCTTGTGGCACTTTCACCAAGTTATTTTTAGAAACTTGGATGATCGTTGTAGGTGGATCTATATTTAGAGTGTGTGGTTTCACAGGCTGTAGTCAGATAGTCGAGTCACGTATCTTGTCTGATTACTATCTCTCTGGTTTGATTAACAAATACATTGACGTGCCGCTAAGCATAAAACTTGCTTGATTCTGAAAACAAATCAGGAGCAGATACCGGAAACTTTAGTGTGTGTGTGTGTTTGACTGTGTGTGTTTGACTGAGTGTATGTTTGTGTACATTTTTGCGTGAGTGCTCACAAGGCAGGGCATTTAATCTCTTATCTGTCCTTTGGTAATATCTGATAGGGCATTTTAATGAGTGCTGCAGATCATTTTTGCATGTCGTACTAGCAGCTTATCCCTCACAAACCCAAAGGCAAGACTGATAAACTGAAATGAGTCATTTACCGTTTGAGTTTTGCATTTGTCTCTATCTCCCGTCAACCCTGTCCAGCTCTGTCATCTCTCCGAGTCCTCCTCCCTCTCGCCTCTTCCCTCAGCTGTTCCATGCCCCTGCTCCGCTGGGATTGATACAATATTTTCCAACCCTCAATTAGCAGAGAGAGCCTGTTGACTAATTTTAACTGTTTTTGCACCTGAGAGGGAGCTGGGAGTTTGGGCTGGAAAAACTGAGTGGGGTGGAGGTGAGGGACGGGGCCTAAGTGTGGCAGGCAGAGCTGTCGGGGCGTTATAGCTGTGTCGACAAGAGTGTGAGGGCGACACAGAGGACAGAGGAGAGGTCGGCCAGACTGCTAGGCAACGCTCCTGAAAGCTGCCCTGCAGGCTCAGGGCTGTCCTGAGCTCAGGTTAGTCTTGTACAAAACAATGGAAGAATGTGGAAATTATAATACAGGCCCAAACAATACTGTGTCTCCAACATTGTCTGTATTTGTCTGTGTGGGTATGTATGTTTTTGCAAGAAGTCAAACACATGTCTCAAACTTTTTTTTAGGTTTTGCCTCAGATAGAACAGGAGTTCTCAACTTTTTGTAACTTCAGATTCTCAAGACAATTCCGAGGACCGCCTTTCCAAATAAATGAGAAAAAAACAAAACATGACAAAAAAAGGAGACAAAATAAACTGGGCTGTAAATATGTGCTATGTGTCAGCTGTAATGACCTAAATACATATTCTGCTTACCCTCACCTATCACTCCCTGCCATTATGAATCCAAATTTAACATATTCAGGGTCATATTTCCTCACCATGTGCTTTGGAGCTTTTACTGGTGCAAGGATGTCTCCAACATCACTCTTTTGTTTCAAAAAACGATCCGTTTTGTGTCCGTTTAATGTGAGGGAACGTTAGCTAGCTAACAGTTGCAAAAGACGTTAGTCTCTACCTGATGATGTGTCGTGGTTGGTGTGGTGATATTCAAACTTAACCGGTCATTGAAATACTTTGTTTGATATGCTATGTTTTTATTTTATTTATTTGGATTCTTGTGGACATTTAGACACAAAAATAACTAGCTTTGTAAAATACCAAAAAAATAACTGTCGTCAAACCATTTATCAGTACCTCCGCGGCCCACTAGATGGCGCTCTGATGTTCACCCGTGGGCCTCCATCCAGTGGTTGAGAATATCTGATAGAACCAAATATTTCAGAAGTATCTATAACATCCTAAACAAGAAATGACTCCTGTTTCCTGTGTGAGACTAATGCCGATGTTGCCCTCTGCATCACTGCTCCTCTCATTAAATATGCACAACTTCCTGCTTGCCCTGCCACTCTAATCTATAGCATGCCCACCGTATCAGTATCAAGAACTTGTCTGGGTCAGGAGGCTTTAAGTCTGATTGAAAGCCTCCTCACGTGACGGCAGTAACGGTAGCCTCGCAGAGAAACCGAGTGAGACCTCAAAACGGCCTTAAACCAGATCTGCCCCATTGTGAGGCGCAACCACAGACTGACCACAAGGTCCACATGACCGCTGGTTTGGCACTGTGCTCGGCTCCGAAACACACCCTCGCTGTGTGTGAGCGAGCAGATAGAATCGTTCTTTCCACCAAAGGAAATGAGAGGACGATGGCTAAAATGTATGAGGACATTATATTTGAGGGGACTGCACTTTTTCACAGAGAGCTACTGCAACCACCGAAGCATTAATAATGACATGAGTATGGCAAGAAAAAGCACGAATGTCACAATCCTCAGCCGTAACTTTTGCTACTTTCCAAAGACTCTAAACGTTTGTTTCAATTCAAACTCCATCATGTTGCCAAACTGGTATTGCAGCCACTCTTCCAGCATGACCTCTCGGGTGTCAAATTCATGCAACGTTTGGGAGTGATATTTTATTATGGTAGCTGACAACTACCACTAATATCAAAGAATAATGTCCCAGCTTGGAGAAGCCCACAGGTTCGACTTTAATGCAGTAATAATTCATCTCAACTTGAATTTCTACCAGTGTGTGTGGTTTTAAAAGATCCTGCCAGGTGACTAATCCCGACAGGTTAACAAATGTCATCCAGACTGCAGCTTGGAGCTTATTGAAACAGTGGCAACAGACTGGCTGGCCTGTTAGCTGGACGCAGCAGCTGCTCCAGCCCCCAGTAGCCGTATGGAAAAACTCTGACTCACCCACTTGTATGAAAAGGCATTAACGAGCAAATGCATAAATATTACAGTCAAAGGCATAAACGTCTCTAAGGGCTATCCAGTCAGTCAGTCAGCCGGTGACTAATGGAGAGGGAGGTCAGATTGTGACCAGAGGCGGCTCATCTGACCTGGTCAAGCATCTGAAAGACGCCCATTGATGGACACGATGAAGAGGCTCGGCTGCTGTTTGAGCGACCTCTTCTCAGGTGTCCCTGAAGCACGTTAGTCACAGACTACAGAATAACCTATGGGTGTCTATGTAGAACTGCATTGACGCATGCTGGATACTTCACGTTGGGTATTGGTGCTAAGAGGCATGATTGTGGGGTGCAAGGAAGAGCCACAGCCTCTATAGAGAGTTACAGCCGTGTGCATGATTGTCAGACAAATGTGACGGCAAACAGTAAGTTGCTCAGTACAAGAAAGCACAAATCCAATAGCAGGTTGCATGAGGCTTTAAAATGCAACTTTGTTTTTTGTCAACACTTTTAAGTCTCATTGTTTATGACAAATCAAACTATGAACAATACACGTGAATCAGTGCGTGTATTCGTTGGAGGAATGTGTTCCCGTTTCCACCTGCTACTTACAATTGATGCATTTTCGTCACAGTTTTGACAAGTTAATCCCTAGTGAAACTGAAGCTTTTTTTTTTTCCAAGCCCAGTTTGCCTCGCCAACTGATGCTCAATGTCTCTCCTCAAGTCAGCTTTCTTGTGCCGGCTGTCCCACGAGGAGTCTAAATCCACACCAGGGTATTCCCTTCTTACCTAGCAACGCGCCTCTCATGCTCTAAACACAACACAAATAGCTCAGCAGTGATGAAACCAAAGGATATCCCTATGAACTGCTATAAAAAGTGAACAGATAACAAAGTCCAGCCATAAAAAAATAGAGTGAGGGCGTCACAGGGCATCCTGTCCTCTCAGTGACACTCAACACACAATTGATATACAGAACATAGATGCACTTACTGTCTGCGTAGTTTTTCCGCCGAGTGCCGTCCACCTTGCCTGTTTTGTCAATACAGAGGAAGAACTTGTTGGCAGAGTAAAGTCGCCGTAGCCGGACGTCGCCCTCTAGGTGATTGTAACTGCGAGTGTGCCTCTCCAAAGTCCATGAGCAGTTGATGCCACTCGCCAGCACCTGAAGGGGCTCATGTCCAACCCCAGGAGGACAGGCCCCTGTGGCGGTGCCAGCGGTAACCAGCAGCAAGGTGAAGCATGCCAGGCAAAGGGAGGCCGCGCTGGGTAAGGGGAGAGTCCGCCCGGTGGAGGCTGCAGTGGTGGTGGTGGTGGTGGTGGCGGTGATGGTGGTCCTGCCAAGGGCAGGTTCAGGACAGAGATGAGCTACGGACGGCGTCCATCTGCACATGGTGGGTCAGACTCCCAAGGTGCACCTTGTGCAAGCTGTAGGCATGCTGATGATGGGGGTCCTGAAGAGAGAAGGGAGGGAAATGGCTCTCGCAGATCCTCTGGATGTCACAGATGACCAATCCCCACCTCAGAGCTGACAGCAGGCCTTCCTACAGCGACACGCTTTCTCCAGTTGTCATCTTTTTGGTCTTGCTTTCGATTCTACTTGTCCGATCCTTTCGTGAAGTGTTTTATGAATCCACCTTTAAAAAGCTCCTCTTTAGTGTCGCTCCTTGTTTCTCTGGCTGTTCTCCTCCTTGGACTGAGGTCTTCTTTCCCGTACCACAGATAAAGTCCTGGGCTGTTTGAAGATGCGCATGTGTGTGTGTTTGTCTGTGTGTGTATGTATATGTGTATTTTTGTGTTGTAAAGTGTGTGTGAGTGTGTGTGTTGGTGTGTGCTTGTGTGTGTGTATGTGTGTGTGTGCACCTAGCGATGCACTACTCTTTCCAGCTGAATAGGAACAAGGTGCCTGTCTGAGCTGCTGACCCGTGGCTGAGAGGGAGTTGAATGAGGAGGGTTGGTGACTGACTGCGTGCGTGTGTGTGAGTGTGAGTGTGTGTGATACTGAGAGAAAGGGAGAGAGAAAGAGAGGGAGTGAGCGAGTATGGGAGGGAGAGAGCCGGTGTGTTTGCGACAGAGAGAGAGCTCGGCGGTGAGAGTGTGTGTGTCAGTGAGTGAGCGGCAGCCAGCGAGTGTGTGTCAGCTATAGCACGGGCAGTGAAGCAGTAAGTAAATGGCCTCACGCTCAGTCAGTCAGTCCTCTCTTCTGTGGAGGCACCGGCTGAGTCGTCCTGCATTTTATCCTGGGCAGGGCCAGCATCTAGGGGGTTGAAAGAGAGAGGGGTGGGGGTGGGGGTGGGGTGGGGCCACCGCACTCATTCATAACCATTTTGAACAAATGAGGAAAGCCCGCATAGAGGACCGTCCCCTTTCTTTTTTCTATTCTCTCTCTCTCTCCGAGAAGTTTATTCTGTGAGAAACAAGTCATTTGCTTTTCACCTGAAGATTTTATTATCCTCTTCTTCATCTTTTTTTTTTTTCTTCGTCACGGACACCTGGAAAGACTTACATCTGCTTTGCCCATCCCAGAACCTCTGCTGTCTCCCCTTGATGTGAACAGTGAAGCATTTTGCAACACGGTCAAATCAGCTCCATTACTGTCCAGTGAACCAGCTCGGAGACTGTTTTTTTTTGACACCTTCACTCTCTTTTCTTCTCTCTGGCCACATGTGGCAAATTAAGGGAGCCTTTCTTTTTTTGCCGCTGCTGGTTTGAATCATCAAGCAGTCGGAAACACAGAGCAGGTTGCAGGAGTGTCGGCAGAGTTAGTCCAGATGAAGGCTGAGAGACTTTCAGATCACCTGTGTTAATATTTCAATGGAACACCTTCTCTGATGTTTGCAATTTAATTTGGGGGAGCAGGACGGAAATGAAGAACACCTTTTATTGTGACTTCCCACACTCTTGTCTGTTTTTTACAAGCCGTGTAATGAACCTGATTATGGCAAGAAAGACCATTCGGGTTTGATGAATCTTTACCTCGAGTATTCGTGATTGTGTATTATTAATATGTGAAGAAGACAAAAACATTTTATCCTCACCAACTAGAACAGAAAGGAAGATTTTGACATTTTGGGAAGTATGCTTGTGTACTTTCTTGCTGCAAGTTAAAGGAGAAGATTGATACCACTAGGCGCCGCGGTAAATATAAGAAACAGCCATTAGCCAGTTAGCCTAGCTTAGTATAAAGACTTGAAACGGCGCTGGGATTTGAAGCAAATTTTACATGTTGGCCAAACAGTGGAATTATAACTTAAGTGTCCATCACATGATGCTATTGGTTCACAAAGATCTTTTACCATTGACTTACATTGGGAAAGAGACTTTTGTTACTCAGCGGATAATTTTATTAGTCCTTCTTTAAATCATCAGGTCGTAAAAGTTGTAAAAATGCACTAATAGCCAAATCCAGAGTTACTTCCCTTCCTTCGTTCATGTGAATGAGAGCAAAGAAATCAGTTGTCAGTAAACCAGTGGACTCCAGAAACGTGCTGGTCCTGTCCAAGAAATACACATAATCCCCTGTAAAAAAACACTATAGAATATGTTGTTCTTTGAATGTAACATATATTATGTAAAGTAGGGAGCTTTAGAAGTGCTGGGCTGATTTTCTTTCCTTTGGACGGAGCCAAGTTAGCTGTTTCCCTTTTGTTTTGTTTTGTGCTAACCTAAGCTAAGCTAAGCTAACTGCCTGCTGGCTCCAGAAAACAAGATGGAGACTTCAAAGAGAGGCTTAAAGAGATGGGACAGGATGGGACATATACAGTACATAAAAACATGCACGATACAAGCATCCAGTTAACTTTTTCTGGATTATGTGCAGTCCGTGCGCTTGTAGTCCACACAGTGACAAACTGTGGGCGGATCTACATGGACGTGGCAGATGCAACAACCATGAATTGAAATAAAATGTCGAACTATCCCTTTAAAGTTTTTACATTTTCAAAGTGAGACGAAAACTGAGCTTGTGGATGAATGAAAAGAGAACAAAAATGTGAGAGAATTAGTGAGAGAAGATGCAGAAGTTTTCAAGTGGGGCTGTCCAGCAGCAATTCCCTCCTTTTTAAAAGAGCCCCTGTTTCAATTATGAGTACCACCCTGAGGCCACGCTTGTCCTGGGCTGGAGGTGTGTTTGAAGAGTACCTGCTCAAAGAGGGTGACAGTCACTTCACACTCTTTAGCTTGTTAACTGCCCCCCAGAGACTTGCTGTCCCGCTAGCCCCTTTTTAAACCTTCCCATCATAAAACAAAACACTGAGAACGAGACCAGTCACCCCTTTCTCCTAACTTCCAGCTCCAGTCCTCCCCCAACCCCAC